AGTTCTTCTCTCATATACCTGGGATTGCCCAACACAACCACAATACCTTCCTCAAAGCCTTGCTGAACCTTATGAGGTTCTCATGTTCTCACTTTTTGAGTCTGCCCAGGTCCCTCTGGACGTCATCCCCTCCTTCTATTGTATCAACTGCACCACTCAGGTTGGTGTCATCAGCAAACTTGCTGAGGGAGCACTCCCTCCCACTGTGTATGTCATTGATAAAGATCCAACTCTAAGGACTGTATGATTCTTTGATTCTACACTGAAGAGCACCAGTTCCAAGGTGGTCCTCTGGGAACACCACTCATGGCCAGCCCCCACCCGGACATACAGCCATATAGCCATTGACGACAGCCCTCTGGCTGTGACCATCCAACCAATTATTTATCCAGCAAATTGTCCAGCCTTCAAATCCGTATCTCTCCAATTTAGAGATAAGATGTGGTACAAGACCATTTCACAAGTCCAGGTAGATGATATCAGTTGCCCTTCCTACCCACCCAGAGATGCCAGCACTAACTTCACCTGTGTGACCTTAATGGATTCATTTTACAGATGCATTCTCTAGTCAAAAAATGATCCTATAATCATACAGTAACAGAATGGTTTGAGTCATCCAATTCCAACCCTCTGCTATGTCCATGGCCCTTTCCAGCCTGGTCTTGCCCCTTGGCTGTGATTGATCTTGTAAGAAGCAGAGGGGTTTTCTTATAGACTTCTCCAAGGCTTGGTGGATGTGGTGGACCACAAACTGACACTGCACAAGTGTGGATTAAAACAGCTTTAAAAATGAGTCTGTAGAGACTTATAGTGCAAATATGGAGATGGATATGGGATGATGTAGGAATGAACATGTCTGAAAGCTCCAAAGGAAACACAGCCAGACTTTAAAGAAAGATCTCTACGGATAACCAAAGACATGACTGACAACAGTCAGAGCTCTTACCTTGGGGTAAAGACATGGCCCCAGCACAGGGTAGCTGCCAGGGGAAGACCAGTGTTCAGATGGCCACAGGACCACAGCAGAACGGCTGTAGGGTCATAGCATGTCACATGTAGCATTTCTCCTCCTTCACCCCAACAGGAAGACATTTGGTAACTATAAAGATACTGAAAACAAGGGAAGAAAGCAGGTGTGGCTTTGCATGAGTTAGGAAATCTAGTTCTTGTCAACCAAAAGGCACCCAAGAAGTATAGCAAGGAGCCTGTAGGCAGCATCTCTGGAGCAATGTGCCACAGGAGAGAGCCTGGCCAGGTCACCTGAACATAGCACTTGGGAATGTATGTGGAACTGGGAAAAATCAACTTGCTTAGAAAGTCAGATAAAGCTACAAGACCTTCCATAATACCCCACAGCGGACTATGATGCTTTACATTACCAATGGAGAAGAAGAGCCTTCCAAGAGCATCCTCATGGTGCCCAGAGCAACCACCTCTTCTCACACCAGAGTTCCTGTCAGGCTTCCTCTTGATAATCTGCCCATCAAAAGCCAGCTACCAAACCATCTCTCTGATGGTTCCATGCTGGATGTGGCTCTGGGCAGCCTGGTCTAGTGGTTGGCAACTGTGCCCAGGGCAGGGGGCTTGAAACTTTGAGGTCCTTTTCAACCCAGGCCATTCTGTGATTCTATGGTTATTCCAAAGCATTGCCCATTAATAAAACCAACATACAGCACAAAGCATGGCTGCAGCAGGCATAAGTGCACAAAGGAAAAAATGAAAGATAATCTCCACATTGCACATTTATCTTGTTTTCTCATAACTCAGACTGTCTCTCCACACTCATCCAGGGAGCACATGAATGCTGTGTAATGACTTTATTCATGACTTCATTTACATTTTAAAAGAACCTTCTGATCTGCAACAGAACTGAGGTATGATATTCCTCATGAAGCCTAGAAGCCTGATTCAAATTGCCCAGGACACAATGTTTCTGGAATACTTTGCATTCTGCCGTACTTCATGTGCTCAGAGCACAACCCCTGCTGATTTCAGCAGCAGCAATGAATGCAAGATGTTCATCTAGAATCCCAAATCAGATATAAGGAAAATGAAGACAATGCTGATCAGAAATCGCCCTGTAGCACATAAAGGACTTTGTAGCTCAGTGTATTATGTACAGTTTAGAAGGGCATAGTTTCTAGAACTTCACCTGTGAGCTTGCTCCTTCCCTGTCTGCTTAGGTTCTCTCTCTCCAAAATTGCTGGACCTGTGCACCAGTTCAGGCCCAGATCAGGCTGTTCAGGTTCACTGGCCATCATCTGCCCAACCCACTTTTCTTTTTGCCAGGTCCATCCCTCCAAGACTTTGTAATGAAATCAGCTCCGGTGCTTCTTACAGCCTCTCTGTGCCTGGACCCAGAAGGTCATAGACAGAGCCTGAAGAAGGGTTTTCCACATAGAATCCTGTAGCTGTGGGAGCTCTGCTCAGACCCACCAGAGTCCCTGTCAGGGAAGGAGCTAACACTGCCATGGGCATCTGAGCGTTTGTTTGCTGGCAAGTTTCTGTTTTGTGTTATGACAAATTTCTGTATGCAATTGTTTAAGGAAGCAAACTGCATCTACGGAAGGTGAGTCTTAAAATGGCCAAAGGTTACCTTCATCTTCAGAAAGACCATCTTCCTGAGTTCAGACTCTCGTTCCAAACAGAGCTAAGGAACAAGGATGTAGCTGCAAAATCTGTTGTAGCATTTGGATGTGAGTGAAAACAACTCCATTATACTTAGTGAATGGGAAGAAAAGACTTCTGACATAAAACACAACTCAGCCCAAACAGTTCCAGCTTGGCAAAGCTGTATTTAAGCACAAGGGTGGCAGAGCATCACTTGCATCGCTCTACTGCTTGTCCACTCATCACTGCTCATCAGCTCTGATCAAGACTAAACCTGCAATTCCTCTCGCAGCAGAAGCTTCCTCAGATGGAGCTCTGGACCTTCAGCAAGTCCAGAGGATGAAGGGTCATAGAATCATTAATGATGGAAAACACCTTTAAGATCATCTAGTCCAACTGCCAACCCTTCCCCACCATGCCCACTAACGTGTCCCCCTGTCCCTGCCAAACACCAGACTTAGTGATACCCAAAGGTTTATTTATCTGAATCTGCTGCCACAGGATGTGAAGGGTGGCTGAAGGGCTCTGCACACTGGGGACCTTTTGTCGTGAGCACTAATGGAGTGAATGGGAAAAATTTCTCCTCAGAAAGTGTGGTGAGGCACTGGCACAGGCTGCCCAGGGAGGTGGGGATTTACTGGCCCTGGAGGAGCTCAAGAAACATGGAGACGTGGCACTGAGGGATGTGGTGTGTGGCCACAGTGGGATGGGCTGGTGGTTGGACATGGTGATCTTAGAGGTCTTTTCCAACATTAAGGATTCTATGATAAAGAATGGCAACAGCCCCTGGAGCACTTGGGTGTGAAAAACCCACACAAGACTTAAAATGATTTCAGAGTAAGTTTATTAGAGGACACTGGGGAATAAATATTTTTTCTCTTTCCTTTTTTTTTTTCTTTCCACTTTTAGTCATTAATAACAAAGCTTTTTCTCACTTCTCTGCTGGCCATCACAAGCTGAACTTGGAACAGGCACTGCCATGTGACATCAAGGGCTAATTGCTGCAGCACAAAAAAAGTGACCGTTTCCATGTGCAATACAAGACAACGTTTTCTTGAATGCTCTTTTGTTTGTCTTGTTCAGATTCTAATATTTTTTGCTAAGAACATTAAGTTCCGCAATCTACACCAGAGAGCTGCAGTCATATCAATTTCTTAATGGCTGTCCATGAAAGACACATCTCACCAATCTTTAAATGCACTAAAATTGCTCATTCACAAGAGGATATCTTGCAAAAATCTTCCTCTTTTGTTACTTGCTATCACAGATATCATTACAGAAGTTTATTTATGAACTGGTTCCAGTGAGCTCAGTTGGGATCATCACTGGGAACATCTTAGCTGGGATGAAATATCCCACGTGTCTGATCTGAGAAATTCCCAGGTGCTTTACAGGGGAAGAGAGCAACACTACTAAGGTAAGAAGTCACACTGCAGGATTCTTCAATCACCACCTGGTAACAGCATAGAGATGCTCTGAACAAAAGCACCTCATCCAGGCTGGATGGGGCTCTGAGCACCAGATGAAGCTGTAGGTGTTTCTCCTCACTGCAGAGGAGTTGGACTCAATGGCCTTTCAACGTTCCTTCCAACACAAACCACTCTATGATTCTCTGATTAACAGGTCCCAATCCCAACTCAAATTAACCATCAGTGCTCCAATCATGGACAATATGTTTAAAGTTCTCAGGCTTTAGGTCTCTATTTGAATTAAAGCTTTATGAATATTTATGCCTGTTTCACGAAGGTACAGTTCTGTGTGATTTAGCGCTGGTAACTGACGCAGAGCTAACAGGTTGTTGTTTGCCAATCTATTTACACAAATAGCCATCACATTTTCTTCAACCCTACCTTAGGAAGAGTGCTTGTGATGTAAAAGACAGCTCTAATTTCCAATGGCTGTTTATAATCCCTCCACCTCTCTGAAGATATTTTCACAAATGGGAGAAAAAAATTCAAACCAGCAACCTCTGTCTCTGTATATCTACTTGTCTGTGTGCTGCTACTGAGAGACTGAAAGGATGAAGGCTTAACGTCAGACTGCTGCTTGAGTGTTCAAATACCAGCAAAGCACACAAATGGCCCCAGTGGTACACACTCGGTCATGCAAATAACAGAGACACATGCAGAGAACCCCTCCTGCCAGCAGACCCAAAGTCAGCTTGACAAAGACAGAAAGCAAGCTCATTCCTGGCAAGGCTTTGCTTTCTTCCCTTTGGAGTCTCCATTCCATTAACATCAGTTTCACACTACCAGCTGTGGAGCTGGGCTTTTCAGTACAACCACAGGAGTTGGCACAGTCTCTGCTTAGGCCAGGGTTCCACATCCTCCCACTTGCCTAGATCCAGTCAAACCTACGTGCGGTCTGTATCCATCTCCCAGGGCCACTATTTAGCTCGCAGCTACTATGGGCTCAACTGCAGAGATGTCCATCTTTCCTAAGTGGCTGATGGAGGCTGAGGCAGGGACATGAGAGACCTGCAGCCTCTTGAAGAGGCTGTTTTCAGGCCACACCATTCGGTAGGAAGGGACCGTGGAGGGAAGCCTCTGTTCTGCAAGGCTCGGAGGTTTTCTGCAGATGTTGAGCAAAGCCTTCAGTTCTGCCCGGAAGCTGTCATTAAGCCAGCAGTAGATGAAGGGGTTGTAGCAGGTGCTGCTCATTGCAAGCCAGTGAAAGGCGAAGTAAAGGGCATTGTTGGAGCGGATGGTTTGGCTGGAGAGCAGGACGACGTAGCAATTTAAGGGAAACCAGCAGATGGCAAAGAGGATGACAACGAGCATCAACATCTTTATAGTCTTCTTATTCTTTTTGCGAAGGGCGAAGTACTGCTCGGTGGTGACATCCCCAATGACATTGCGCAGCCAGAGCTTCTTGGCCACTGTCGTGTAGGCAGCGGAGATGATCAGCAGGGGCAGGACGTAGAGCAAAACGAAGGTCGTTAAGTCGAGGTACTTCCAGAAGAGGTCAGCTGGCTCAGGGAAGTCTGGGATGCACAGGCACCGAGTGACTTCCTCACTGCAAAGGGAGAAATATCCAGAACCACAGAACAGTTTGGGTTGGAAGGGACCTCAAAGCCCACCCAAATGCCAACGTATAGAAATAGAACGACTGGCACAGTTCCTGAACTTCGTGTTTTAATTTGTATGATTAGGGCGATAGAATAAATATTAAAAAAATAAAATAAAATAGAAGAGGATGTCAGCCATCACAAATGGAAATTGATGTAAATTACAAACTAGCCCCCTTTCTGGGTAACCTCAATGTGAGTTCAGGGCTTTCAATAGAAAATTCCAGTGCGTAGCCATAGGGAACTTGGCCTCCGGTGAGACTAGAGGAAAATACACCAACATAGGAAAATCATCCTTACCTGTATTCAAAAGTAAAGAGTTTTTGGTAGATAGCATGTGGGAGGGAAAAACAAGCTGCCATGACCCAAATTACAGAGATGTAGATAATGCCTTTTGCCATAGGTAAGCGAGGTTTCAGAGGGTGCATTATGACCTGTTCAAAACAAACTAACGTTCAGGCTCGTGTCATTTCAGGAAATAATTGTATCAATTTTTTGTAGGCTTCCATTCTTATATCTATTACTAGGCACGGACATTCAGCATGCAAACTGTGCTGCCTCCTCTCAGCTCTCACTGCCTACAAGTTGCACATGAATATCTGAAATAATCCAGGAGTAAGGAAAGGCAGATCCCAGTCCGACCCTTGAACATTGGTATTTTAGTCTGAGTGACAAAAACAGGGCATCACTGGCATCAGTGAGCCTTACACACGTATTCATTCCCAGATTCTGTTTGCTTAAAAGTAAATTAAGGATGGAGGCATAGTCTGCCTCAGTGACCAGAGGTCCATGGGGTTGTGAAGTAGCCAGAGCTCCTCAGAATGTTTCTGATAATGGGAACAGCTAGATGTTAGCAAGTGAAAAATATCACCACCAGCAGCCTGCTTTGTGTGTGTTTGGGGTGAATCCAACCTGGTAACACATGACTGCTCCCAGACTCGATCCCTCTAGCAGCAGCAGCTCTGCCCTGCTCATGACAAACACCAACCCTCTGCATCTCATGTGGAGTGAAATGTCCCAGGGCTGCCTGACACCAAGCAGGACATACCCACACCCACAGCACTGGGGCCAAAGAAGCCTCCCACATGGGACAGCTGCCTGCGTGAATTCCTATCAGACCTTATGACTTCATCTTGGCCTGAGTGCGACTGGATGACCATCTGCAGAGTTCCTGTCCCCAGCTGGGAGTGCACACGTCCCACCTCACTGCAGGTGTGGAGCTGTTCTCATCTAACAGCAAAGAGCTGCTCTACCACACTGTCAGCCCTTCATGCATCTTACATTAATCTGAGAGCTGAGAAGGGAAGGACATGGGATCACACTCTCTCATTTTAATCACACCCTTCCAAGCTTTCCTGCTCTCTGCTCCAGTGAGTTCTCACCTGGTGCCTGTCCACGGCAATGGCTGTGAGGGTCAGAGCAGAAACGTGGAGCGAGCAGTACTGCGCGAACCTACTGACATGGCACATCCCCTTCCCAAATATCCACGTGCTGTTCACAAAACGAGCCTGGAATCAGAATGACATTAGCACTTGTGCCTGTACCCACATGCTTATTAAATTCCTCCCATGGGGAACCTGCCTTAGCAGGGGGAAGCACCAGATGAGCTCCAGAGGTCCCTTCTAACACCTATGATTCCACCTCCGGCACAAAACTACTTCTGCTGTGTAAAAATGCCTTAAAATTGCAGTTTCTTTCTGCCTTGAATCGTTGCCAGACTGCTGAGGCTACTAAAACTACTTCAGTATCTTTATGGCACATTCTCTGTGTCCCAGCAGGTCACCCCAATGCACCGAGCTGCAGCCACAGCCCCCCCAGCAAGAAAGGCCTCTGTCCCCATCTTACCAGTGTAAAAGGCGTGTTGAGAAGCGTGATCATGATGTCAGCCACGGCCAGGTTGACAATGAACAGACTGGTGGCAGAACGCAGGCGTTTGCTCTTGATGATGACGTGGCAGACCAGGACGTTGCCGAAGAGGGAGAAGATGATGATGATGGAATACGCCGCGATGAGCAGAGCTTTGGCCACCACATGCTGCGAGTCTGCTCCGTGCCGGCTCCTGCCCACAAAGCTCTGCCAGTCGGCCAGCGTGTCGTTATCCCATGGAAAGAACCCCGAGATGTTTGGGATTTCCAACATCTCCTCAAGACTTCCGTTGAGGGGGAACTTTCCTGAGGTCGGGAAGGTGTTCACGAAGTAGGGGAGGGAGAGCCAAACAAAACAGGAGAACATCTCTGGCAGGCTGCTGTGTGCTTCCCCAGGGGAAATAACTCACTCAGGGCAGTGCTGTGGCTGGGCACACATTGCTACCAGTGATGCACTGGCATAGCTAGGGGAGCGGGGCTCCTCTCTCTCCCGCTCAGCTCCTCATCACTTTTCTCCTCCAGAGGAGCTCTGTGTCTTCGCACAAGCTCCCAGCCAGCATTCCTGCCCATTGGGCTGCATAGCATTATTTCTGCTCTGACGTGCTGCAGTTCTGCACAATTACACTCCCCTCAGGCGTCACTCCAAGACAATCACAGCTGCACTCTGTACAGCAGGCAAAATCTGTCTCTTTGGTTCTCAGCATCCTTCCTTAAGAGCAGCACTGCTCATGCTGATTTGGTGCTGCTTATGCACCAACAATGTGTACAGGGGCTGTGCTGTCTTCCAGGCCACATTTCAAAAAGAAGTTCAGCTTTACCAGATCAACAGGAGAGTTCCAGCCTATTTCACATCACTACAAACTAGCATGGAACAGGGGCACAGCACAGAAAGTCACGCACACACATACTGGTGAAAATACATGCATGCACAAGGTGTCACCCCATGAGTGTAAACTGTGGTTTAAGGGTTAGGAGATTACCAACCTACCAGCCCCCACATGCCCCTCCCCTGACACAGCTCTGTGCAGCTGCCATGAGGCCTCACACACTGTGCTCTCCACCAGAAATACCCACCTGGCAGCAGATATTTTCTCAGAGATGATTCATTTCAGTAATCTGCAATTTTGCCAAACCATTACAAGCTGATAGCATTCTGTAATGCTTTCCTTTCTCAGCCACGAGAGAGATTAGAGATATACGGCAGCAGTCCTCCAGCAGGCTGACATCCACTGTCATTACTAATGAACTCTCTACCATGACCTCAGGACCTCACCTACTTTGTCTAACTTCACAGGAAGAACTGGCTTTCAATGCCAAGGGATGCATTTGGATTTAAAAAATACCTTAATCATAGAATCACGGAATGACCTGGGTTAAAAAGGACCACAATGATCTAATTTCAACCCCCCTGCTATGTGCAGGGTCACCAACCACCAGACCAGGCTGCCCAGAGCCACATCCAGCCTGGCCTTGAATGCCTGCAGGCATGGGGCATCCACAGCCTCCTTGGGCAGCCTGTTCCAGTGCGTCACCACCCTCTGTGTGAAAAACTTCCTCCTAATATCTAACCTAAACCTCCCCTGTCTCAGTTTAAATCCATTCCCTCTTGTCATATTGCCCTTAACCCCTCCACAAGTTGCACATTTTCCTGTACCTCTTCCTGATGTGGCAACCAATCTACTCTCTCTCTTTCTGAAAGGACAGGATCCCAGTAGGATGTGATATTTCCCCTTCAAACATTCAGCAGAGTTGAAAGTTTTTATGTGATCCCTGTGAAAAGAATATACATAAGTTCAATAGTGATGGAGTACAGTTTGGTATCTGCTTCAGCTGACTTCAAGGTGTGCCAACATCTCTATCCATCATCCGGTGTCTGCAAAAGGAAAGAGCTACACAGAAATATCAGGTATCTGTGACCCGAGGCATCTTGTAAAATAAAAAAAGTATTTAAAAAACAACTGAAGCAAAGATCCGTGGCTCTCAGGCAATTTATATCACCACAAATGTCTGCTCAATAGCTCTTTCAACTGAAGTTACAATTTAGGAAAAGAGGAGAAGTGAAAACAGGCCATAAAACAAAACAAGAACCAAAACAACCTACCCAGACACTCTACAAAATGGGATTTGGAAACATTCAACTAAAGGGGTAATTAAACAAAACCAAAACCCCACAAACAAAAGCACTGCAGAGGTGCACACCCCCACCATATCCATGGAAACGACTTCTCATCCAGTGCAGGTCTGCCAACATCTGAGCCTTCTTTGGGCAGCTGCACTGCAAGTTGCACAAGGGAGAAGTGACCTTTCAGAAACTATCCAGGGGAATTCTCTGAGAATTGACACTGACTCTGAGTGTCTTATCCTTTATCCTTGTGGAAATGAAAAAATAAAAGCACACTGATGATAAGAAAGATCCTTCAGTGTTAAAAAAAAAATACCTATGTACAACAGGTTGCATTTTTTTGCTTCCAGAATGAAAGATGCTGTTTTCATCTTCTAAAAGACAATTTGGGAATGGCTGCAGTTTAACATGACAAAAATCTATGAATCAGCCACTTGGATGAAGGAACAGAGGCCACCCTCATTAAGTCTGCTGGTGATACAAAGCTGGGAGTGGCTGACACACCAGAAGGCTGTGCTGCCATTCTGCAACACCTGGACAGACTGAAGAGTTGGGCAGGGAGGAACCTGATGAGATTTAACGAGAGTAAGCATAGAGTTTTGCACATGGGGGGAATAACTGCATGCACCAGTACAGGTTAGGGGCTGACCTGCTGGAGAGGAGCTCTGCAGGACCCGGGGGACCTGTTGGACACAGGTTGGCCATGAGCCAGCAGGGTGCCCTGGTGGCCAAGAAGGCCAATGGGATCCTGCAGTGCATTCAGAAGAGCTCAGCCCTCTACTCTGCGCTGGTGAGGTCATACCTGGAGTGGTGTCCAGTTCTGGGCCCTCTGGTTCAAAGAAGACAAGGATCCCCTGAAGGAGCCCAGCGGAGGGCCACAAAGATGACAAAGGGCCTGGAGCATCTCCTGCATGAGGAAAGGCTGAGTAACTTGGGCCTCTTCAGCCTGGGCAAAAGACAACTGAGAGGGGATCTGAGAAATGTTTATTTCAAGGGAGGTAGGCAAACGGCTGAGGCCAGGCTCATAAAGAGGTAAAAGTATTCTAAAAAAACTCAATGCCTCCCACTCAAAGAAGTTCACACAATTGACATTCAGAATTTATTAAACAGAAATGCTTTATTTAAAAAAAAAAAAAAAAAAAAAATGTAAACCTTTATCCTGGAGGGCATTTACAACAGCTTTTTATTTGCATAGGTAACATTATGATAGCTGTGACAGCTCTTTATGAAAATAAAGACACACCAAATTATCTCCTGATGTCTCAAGCAATAGCACTTCTCTGCAAATTGCTCCTGAGCATTACGTTAGAAATTTGACAGACCTGATCATTTCTATGAAGTCCTCAGGAAGCTCAAGGGTCATTTAGGTCTGCTCTACAGCACAAGTGCACACGAAGTAACAGGCATGTGCAGTGAGAGCCAGAACACCATAAACACCCAATCCCTCCGACAGAGGACACAGAAATGCAAAAGCATGGCTTCCATCACTCATTTGGTGTTTCTCAGACACGTTGGGGTGTAAGCTGGTGATCACTTCCAGCTTTTCCCTCAGCTAATTCTAAAGGCTGCCGCTGTAGAACACCACCTTCTGCAGAGTGGGGCACAGAGGAGGAGAAGGGGAAGGAGAGATGGGTCTTGGATCCCTCAACAGGAGTGCTTCTCCCACTGTGAATCAAGCACCATATTTTAAAAACCTCATATGAAGAAATCTTTTGAAAAATGGCGATGACATTTTAGGAAGAGCATGGCAGTAGACACCTGGAAAACTGTTAGCTAAGGAAATGGTAAGAGGCGATGGCATGCTTGTTACTAGCTCACTGCTGTACTCTTCAGTCAGCATTCCTCATGAAGCTGTAAGGTTCTAGCTCTTAAATCCTACTAACAAGGTAAACATTGAGAACGCAGCTCTATCTGAACTCCTTGCCAGCTCCTAAACTACACAGCAGCAGTAACTTCTGTGTACTCTGACATTCAGTAACAGTGCCACGGCGGGTTTAGTTCTGTTAAGTTGAAAGTATTAGGATACTTTCCAGCTTTATTACTGAAATCAGCATTTTTTGATTAAATTATTACTCTTAAAGAGTTTTCAACTGTAACTGTAGAAAACTGAAAACGAATGTCTTGCTGCCCAAGTATGCACTCGTATCTACACGCACCATTAATGTAAAACCCAGTAATACTAAATTTGGTGCCACTGAAAACATTTCATAGAAGTGAAGGCTGCAGGCAAACTACCACATACAGAGAAACGTCATGCAGAGTATGCCTTGCAAACTGCTTTCCATTTACTCCACAGTCTCTTCTGCGTAGCGAGGCAGAGATCATTTCTTTCTTCGTGATGCTGCAGTGCTTTTGAACGGGTCATCCTGCAATACGTAAACAGATGTGCATTATTAGAGCTAACACACATTCTGAGTCATAAAAGGTAAAGTCACCTTTAGATTAACATAGACAGGTCACTCAATTCTGTGCTTTCTGACAAGCCTGTTTTTATTGCTTTTGATTGCAGGGATATTACCGATTGATTTAAAAGTTCAAGTCACAAATATGCAGAGTCGGTGTGATCACAACAGCAACCTGGATTTTGGGGTGAGCTGGGAAAAGGTTATAATCCTGAGCAGCACATACCTCAGTGAAATTAGAGCCATTTCCATATCACACACTGTATTTCACTGAGGTTTCCATGTATCAGAACTACTATTTCTGCATGTTGGAACAAACACGTAGTGCTGCACTTCAAGTACAGGAAGAGATGGCAGAAAGAAGGGGTAAGAATTTAGCATCTTCTCTTTCTCTGAAGTGGTCAACACTTGATATCATTAAGGTTGTGGTGCTGGTTATGTGCCAGCCTGCTATTATTCTATAACAACACACTGTACAGTGTGTGTTCAGTGCAAAATCACATATAAAACAATTACTTAATTCCCAGGAAATCTAACTTACTCAATGTAAGATATTTCCCTTTCTAGCCTTATTTTTTTGTCTATGTATATATACTAAAGCTGGTTATAATAATCTAGTCATGCTAGTAAGAATAATTTGATTTTACTCAGAAATGCTTTATTTAAATAACTGCAAAACCAATAATCTATAGAAATTCACATAAACAGACAACAAAGGTTACAATGTACCATACCTCATCTGACTCAAAATCAACTCCTCTGGACGTTTGGCTTTGTGAACCTCTTTTACCAAAAAAAGACATAGCTGAGAATCTTAAAAAGAAAACAAAAAAGGTACCAGCA